TCTCCCGGCCCCGCCGCCGCGCAGGTACCGCCGCCGGGCGGGCGGGGGGTAGTGGCGTGGAGGGGTTCCCTTGTGCCCACGGGGGAGACGTGAGGCAGAGCGCGGCGGGGGCATCTACCGCGTTCCCGCCCCGGTCAGCTGCAGTGAAGTGTCGTTTGGTTCCAGGAAGTCAGAGGCAGCTCTGAACTGTTCAGGGGTGGGGGTAATTTTTCTCTCTTTTTTTTTTCACAGCTGCTGGCACTCCCCAGGGACCATGGACCGCTCAGCGGAGGCGGCCGGGGTCCCGGAGGGCGCCGATATTGGGTCACAGAAGGACAGAGTGGTGACCGAGGAGGAATGGCTGCAGAGATGGGAAACGGGGAACATCGGGTTCCACAAGAAACGAGGGCATCCGTAGGTGATTTCGCTGTTCTGCCTGAGCTCTTCAGAGAAATGCTGTGAGATGAGTGACTTGTCTCAGTCAAAAAAGTCCTAACAGAAAAGGAAAGGAAAATTATTTTACATGGGCATAGCTTGAAACCAAAATAAATACCCGGTTTTGGGACCTACATTTGTCAAAGAAGGGCAGGGAAAATAAAGGATTGAAATGAATCTAGGACTTTCACTCTTGAATCCAGTTTTAAACTATAAAGCTTGGATAGCTTGGCTAAAAATTGTAAATCTTCACATGCGGAAGCTCTGTATTGCTGTTAATGAGTGATGAACCTGGGGCCGAAAGCAATATGCGGAGGGCGTGGGAGCAGTTATTGTGTACTGGAGGACAGGAACCTAAGAGAACAAACTTGAGTATATGAAATGTCTGCTTAAGGCCTGTAGAAGTTATTTGATCAATAGAGCAGTTTATTAATCATTCTGTTGAAGCTGTCTGTTGTGGCACTCTTAGAGGTGGGTTGGTTCATTTGTTTATGTGGAAAGACAGAACAAACAGAAATGCCTTAGTTTTATTAAATTAACAAAATAAATTTAATTAACAAATTAAATTTCTTTTCTAGGAAAATGGAAGGTGAATGTTTTTATTTCTAATGGTGTGAAGCGAGTTGAACTAAGAACCTATTATGGAGTTTGTGTGCTGCCTGGCACAGCGTGTAGCACTTGGCGTTTCATGTGCCGGCCCAAATACTCGCAGTGTTAGCTAAAACATGTCTGTTCTTCTGCAGGCTCCTCCAGAAGTACCTGGATGTTCTTTTAAATGGCAGGAGCGGACTGAGGGTATTTTTCCCACTTTGTGGTAAAGCAGTGGAGATGAAATGGTAAAGCATCGATTATAAGAACAAAAAGCTTACTTGCTGTGGGGAGGGAAGGGAAGGAGGGAGGGAAGGGAAGAAGGGAGGGAGGGAGAGAGACGGGGAATTCCCAGCCTTATACTGGCCAATGGACATGTGCCGCATCTCTGCTGGTAGGAAAGCAGCGTGGCTGGAGGCTGAAGGGAGGAGGAAGTTTGGTATCATTTTGTGGTGTTTTGTGTAGTAGCATAAATGCGATGGGTAAGGACTAACCTGGAAGTCCTCCTGATTGTCCCCAGTTCAGCTTGGGGAATGTTGAATTTGGGATAGACAGACTGGAGCTGTGCCCTTACCGCTGCTGCTTTTTGTGGCAACGCCAACTTCAGTTGCCCACAATGAGGTCGGTTGTGCCAGAGCACATTTTTGAGGGATGTGGCATGTCACATGTGGCACATTCCACTGGGAACTTAAATGATTTGGGCTAAATATAACTTCCTCTTTTTTATATTTATTATTTTACTTTTACTTTCGGGGGTGGGTTATGTTTATAATCAGGGGCTATATAAGCCAGTGTCTTTTCTTGGGGGGTGGAGACACAAACCATCAAAGCCCGGACTGAAACTGCATCCTCAAGGAATCAAGTTAGTCCCAGTGATCAGGTTTTATCATGGTAATTCCTTACTAGGCTGACTGCAGGCCCTGATGCACGTTGGTGTTGCACTGAGCTGCAGCAGTGAAGAGGTTCTCACACCCTGCTGTCTCTACTGCCAAGCCGCAGAGGCAGCTGGGTGGACAGCATTCCTCAGCTGCTACACTTCAGAGCAAAGCATATTTCTGTAAAACAAAATGGACAGTTTCTCTGTGTAATCACCTTTGTTTTCATCGAGTTCATAGAAATAAGGGAATAGTCCATTGAATCTAAATAAAGCCTGGAAGTCCATGTCAGCTATATGGCGAGTGGTGCTAATTTAAGCTCGGATCATGGAGGGGAGATGTTCAATAAAATGTGAATGCTCCAGAAAGTCAGGATTAGATGTACCAGTGCATCCTAAACCCAGGATTTTGCTAATGAATCAATGCTGCATGGAAGTTATACATTTGGGGGCCCTCACGTAAACTCTTTGCTACATGCAGGCTGGCGGACATGGGGCACAATGTTGTTGGTGTGGAAGTCAGTGAGCAAGCGCTGAAGGAATTTTTCTCAGAACACGGTCTGCCTTATTGTGAGGAGCCAGTCCCGGAGATTTCAGGAGCAAAAATGTTTCAGGTATGTTTCCTGCATTGTCAAATGATCTGGTGTGGTTAATCACGCCATGCAGGCATAACTGAGCAAACAAGTCATTCTGCTTTTATGTCTTTGTCTTACTGATAATCGTTCACTTGTCCTGAAGAGAGCTGAAAGGAAGTTCAAGTTCCGAGCTATAATTTTGGACTGAGAAGTTCTTCTTTTGAGCTTATTACTTTAGACTTCTTTTCTTACGGCATTGAAGCACCTGAATGTAAAGTAAATGTATTTAAAAATTGGACAGTTGCATGCCTTGACAGATCAGAACATCTCTGGAGGGGATCAGGAGAGGTACCTCAGTAAATTCAAACTAAAAATGTTTCTCATGGTTTTTCCCCAATACACCTAAGCATATATTTAAAAATAGTATATGTGTATATTTTAAGGTATAAATATACACTTTTAAGTGCATTTTTAAATATAGTTTTCTGATAAGTACCATTTCCTTTGCTTTTTATTGTAGAGTACTTCTGGGAACATTTCTCTGTACTGCTGCAGTGTTTATGATTTGTCCAGGTAGGAATACACAGTGTGTTTTACATTTCTCTATAATCAAACATGTATTGTTATTCTCATAATACTGTGATATTATTTTGAATCAGCCATAAGGATTTGGAACAAGTCCTCTCAAGAAAACTCTTCTTAACCTGCATGAGAAATGTAAATAGCCAATCTCCAACAAAAACTAACTCTGCTGCTGACCATTAGATAAAGAGGCCAACTAAATATCTATAAATGGGCTTCTTGTTCTAAACCATCCTGTGAAAGTTACAGGAAAAATATGTTTGCTTTTACAGTGAAAACAAATTACCTTTAACATTATCGATGGATTCTACAAAGCAAAACCCTAGCACAATCCCTTCGTCAGAGTAGCTTAATAAAAGTAAAGAGAATATACCCAGAGGTGTCATCTTAGTCAGCTTTTACTTTAACTAAGTACTAAATATATTCTTTTCCCCAAACTATTTTAACATATGCATGGGTAAGCTGTACCCATTGATTACATGTGTCCCATGCTTTACTTAATGTACTTTTCTCAATGGACTTGAAGTATATTACATCACGCCAGTGTAGGTGACTACATAATGTGTTGTCAAACACTGACTCGCAAGTGCCTTGACAAACATGGCTCAACTTACTTCTGAAGGATTTTTAGTGCTAAAATGTCCTTGTTTCTTAGTTAAAAGAGAAAACAGAAAATGCAAAATACTTCAGTACAGTCTGCACTACTGACTCCTGAAAAGTGTTTCTACCCATTGACCTCTGTGGCCTCAAGCATCGCTTCTTATATTTTGTGGTAGCTTTGCACCTGACCTTCTCCTCCTCAAGTGCCAGCTGGTGGGGGCATTTTGAAAATTACTGAGTTGTTCAGATACTACAGGAGGACTTAGGATTCTCCCCAGCCTCTAGCATAGAAGGTTCTGCCTTGGACAGTAATGCGTCTGGCATGTTTATTTGTCCTCAGAAGCTTCCTACTGGTGTTGGCCTAAAATGCCCTCAGACCTAACCGGTGCTGGGGTAGCTGGAGATTGGAGAGCATGCAAGAAGGCAGTGGTGTTCCTGGTTTTGTAATGTATCTTGTAGGAAGCTGGAGGTTCCCAGAGTCCTGCACTATAGTTTCTTGCAGTTCTTGCTCAGACATGATTTTCCCTAGATTATAAGGTTTTGGTGAAGTTTTGTGTGTTTGTTTGCTTTTCTTACAAACGCCTGTCAGGAAGAAGGATTTGTTTCATGGCTGTTCAATAAGAAGGAGGAGTCAAGTCTTAACCTTTACTTGGATGGGCTTTTCAGAGCTCCTACGTATACAGGTGTAATAGGTGTTTAGGACGCCAGAACGTGGTATTTACTATAATTCTTTTTTTTTCTTTCATCTGCATAAACTGGAAAAAAAGAATATTCGTTACTGAAGTCCAAAGTCTTTACTAATACTTCTGCTGGTGCAGCTGGCTCCAGTTGGTTTGAATAGTGTATATATAACTAGTCCTGTCAAGTGAGTGCCTCAGCACCGGTTGGGCTGTAGATGAATGCGCCTTTGTAGGTGCTGCCTGGTTTATTCCCCGCCTTGCCCCTGCAGTGTAGCTACTTGCTGTGTAGATCCCTATACATCCTTCTTGCTGTGAGTTGACAAGTCGCCCAGGGGTTGCTTAAGCTTCTTGTCAGCAATTTTTGAAAAATTTGGTTCTAAGTTTTATAGCAAGTAACATGGTGAAACCTGTAACTTCCATCATAACATGGTGGAATAATACTATGAAATAAACCAAAAATAGGTAATTAATGACATTTTCAGTGCATATTACTGGGTCCGGTGCATAGTTTGTCATCTAGCAAAATAAACTGGCAGATAGAGATTCTGGATGCATGGTTCTGTACCAGGTGCAGTAATGGTGAGAGTATGAACTGCATTCTGTACAGCAGTCAGCAGACACCTGTGACTAGAAAAATGCACACACTCTTCTAGTTTCTGTGTACAGACAATTTTATTAATTACCCAGTAATTATGGATATTAAACTTATTTGTGTCTTGCTGAGGCTGGCCTGATAACAAATCCTTTTGATCTCCATTAGCCTAACATTTATTAGAGGAGAACTCAATGTGCTCCTGACCTTTGTCAGAAGGAGAGGTTTCAAAGACTCTTGCTAGTTAAAAAGTAACAGGAATTACTGCTCTTTGTGGGAACTCTGGGACATATGTAAAACAGTTACATTACACAACCACTGTACCTCCTAAAACAATTATGTCTGAAAGACTTTAAAAAAAAAAAATGGCATTAACTGAAACTAGTAAACATATGCAGAGGTAGCAATTCACAACTTTACTGCTTAAATCCAGTGGGATTTCTGCAGATATGTGAATTTCTGCTTTACATGTTAATTTTTATTAGTTGTAGTAGTACCTAGACTGTGATCTCTCGTGCTACATACCATATAAACACATAGCAGGAGTTAATGTAGGGCTAAAAGATTGGATAGGGCAAAAAAACTTCAGGGGCTTGCCTAAGGTCACACAGCAGCCTCAGCTATGCATAGAGGAGAACAACCTCCAGGCCTCAGAAGATCAAGTTTGTCACCTGCCCCACTAGACTTTGCTTTGTTCCGCTTGTTCCCATTGCGTGTTTAAATCTTTAGAAAAAGACTTTAAACTCTCTTTAAAAATCTCCTTTCATTTAAGAGGCTGGTTGTTTAAATTAGGTGCTTAGTCTTGGCAAACTTTAAAAGAAGTCAGGACTTAAAAATGTTATCGTGTCTCATCAGAGCAGAGTGGGAAACATGGGATCAGCTTCTACATTAGATGCCAGAGACTTGGCAATGCCATTGCAATGAAGTGAGCAGCAGGCAGGGAGAAGAAGTTGTTGTGGTTTAACCCCACCTGGCAATAAGCACCACACAGCCGCTTGCCCACTCCACCCCTGGTGGGATGGTGGGGACAATCAGAAGGGTAAAAGTTAGAAAGAAACTTGTGGGTTGAAATAAAAACAGTTTAGTAATAAAAAATAAATTAAAAAAAAAATTAGGGGGAAAAAAATGAACAAGCAAAGAGAGGGTAAAATAAAACCCAAGAAAGACAAGTGATGCAAATGAAAACAATTGCCCACCACCAACTGACCAATGCCCAGCCAGTCCCTAGGAAGCAGCCCCCCTGCCACTCTCCCCCTAGTTTTATTGCTGAGCATGACACTGTATGGTCTGGAATATCCCTTTGGTCAGGTGGGGTCAGCTGTCCCAGCTGTGTCCGCTCCCGACTTCTTGTGCACGCCCAGCCCATGCTCACTGGCAGAGCAGTGTGAGAAGCAGAAAATGCCTTGACGCTGTGTAAGCCCTGCTCAGCAGTAACTAAAACATCTCTGTGCTGCCAACGCTGTTTTCAGCACAAATCCAGAACACAGCCCCATAGTAGCTACTATGAAGAAATGTAACTCTACCCCAGCCAAAACCAGCACAGAAGTGAAGAAAGAGGTGATGCAATTGGACTCTGACACCCTCCCAGGAGGCAGAGAGGTATTGCACAATTCCATGCCATATTTTTCTCACTAAGTAAACTTATTTCAGACTGTCTTTAAAATTGTGCAGTTCACATTATTATTACCTTACTCTCTAAACTCCTGTTTTAGTAATTACCAGAAGCAAGGCTCTTCCTTCCCCCCCAAATATCTTGAGCTCTGCTGTCACCCCGACTGCCCTTACCCATCTCACCCATCAATAAAGGTACTTCCCAATAGTCTTGGCCATTTGCAGGTTTTGGGTGGTTGCTAAAGTCATCTGCCAGCGTATCCAGGAGCAAAAATAACATCTGTGGCAGTGTCAGGCTGAGGCAAGCAGCAGTGTAACTTAGCTTTTTTAACATTAAACAAATGGCAAGCTGGGGCTAACTGTCCTGGGAATGTAGCTGGGAATTGAGGTGTCTGAAATTACTGGGTGTGCTGAGTTTAGTGATAGTAAAGCAAAGAGGTACCTTCCTTAACCTGCATTTGAAACAACCTGTGGGTTTTAGAAGGTGGCTAGGAACTATTGACGTGCTGAGTGCATGTTAGTGCTGCCTCAAGGGTCACGACAGGGTGTGATTGACAAAAACCCAGACTTGTAGCCCAAATGTGTCTAAGCTACTTTCCTTCCTCCACACTTTGTCTCAGCACCCCCTAACGATGCAGAAATGCTGAGCAATTCCAGCACTTTGCTGTCACAACAGGACCGCATACCCTGAAAATGCTGGATCATAACAAAAAGTTAGTGGGGAGTCTGCACAGCTAGCTGGAGAATCCTTGTGACTTCACAGAACTATCTGAATAAAGATGAAGGTGCTTTTTTAGTCTTTTTAAGCCTTTTCCTCATTTCCCTGTAGCTCAATACTTGGCAAGTTTGATGGGGTTTGGGACAGAGGAGCTCTAGTAGCTGTGAATCCATGCGACAGACAACGGTTAGTAAATTTGTTTTGTTACTGTCTTTTATCTAATGTATGCAGTGACACATTCTTCCTCCTGCCACTTGTGGATGACTCCTCTTTCATTTAAAGGACTAATGTACACAAGTTCTCTACCGCAAGCATCAGCTGCAGTTGCAGAGTGTTGTACTCTAGATTTGAAAGCTTCCTTCAGGAAGCCGCCCCGCCTCTTGGTGGGAGAATATGTGGTTTGTTCTAACCCAGCAGAAGCAGAGCTGCAAGTCTCATTTGAATGTTATTATTTCCTTTTCACCCCATCTGCTTCTCCTCTCTTTGTTCTTTTTCCCTTCACTTCCCTTTATTCCAATTTTTCATTCTTGCCTATAGCCAGCCCAAATGTAGTTTGACCCTAACCCCCTGGATTTTTTAATTAGATACATAATCTTGAATTCACAATAATTTAAAAAGATCAGTACTGTATTGTGTGCTGTATTCTAGACTATGGCAGATGAATACTATGTTTTGTCTGTTAGTTTTGGGATGAATATGCAAAAAAAGATAAAGAGGAGTAAACAGTAACCTTTATTTGCGGTGTTTCATGTTCGTGAAATTCATGCTAAGCTTTGCTTAGTTTCTGTGCAGTTCAGTTCAAGTTCTCTCTGATAGAAATATATGTTACCTCTTTTGTTGAATATTTTGAATGCTATGCTTGAATGTTGTACAGTTCCCAAATAATAAAGTGTAACTTTCTCTTCTCAGCTATGTTAGTTTGATGATCACCCTAATGGAGAAAAATTCTTCTTATCTCCTCGTTACTGTTTCATATGATCCAAACAAACACAAAGGTGAGAACTTTGCACTGTTTGTGTTTTGATTTTGTATGCTTTAGTACAAATTGTATATCGCTGGGTTGATAAATTAGTATCTTCCCCAGGTTTTTTATTGACATAGCTTTGTCAGCTGGTCATACCAATACAACTGAGTGTTAAAAATTTTATCTGTTGACCAAGCTTGAGACTAAATTTGCTTTCTCTCTAGCATTAAAACATGCCGACTCCCACCGACAGCTCTCCCGCAAGAGGCTGACCTGGCACGGGAGCTGCCGGGGCAACCGCGGTCACCATCCCTCCCCCAGTCCTTAAATTTTTGCCGGGAGGGCAGAGAGCTAGCAAGTATGCAGAGCAGGGTCACCACCTGTAGGCCCACTGATCAATGAGCTGGGTGCTCTGGTGACAGATGATACAGAGAAGGCAGACTTACTGAATGCCTTCTTTGTCTCTGTCTACACTGCTGGCAGCTGTCCTGAAGAGTCCCGTACCCCTGAA